GGACTAACACCCTACCACGTACAGCGCGTAGTATCATAAAGTTTAGCTCCCAATAGGGATCAACATGAACGAGTCCCAGAGCTCGAGAGCGCCTGCCCTCGCAGATGTCACCATGGAAGTAGGCTCTGCTTGGCACAGCAGTATCCTCTCGGTGTCTGGAAATGCCTGGAAAGCCAGTGTGATATGCAGAGCCTGTCAGTGGAGCTCCCTTTCTGCAGAAGCCAGACTTATCCGGCTTCCTCCGCTGCAAGCCAGCAGCCTGATGTTGGCACTTTGCACCTGCAGGCTTGGCCCATCTGCGTGTTATACTCTGACTCCGAGGTTTCTTTTGGCTGCAGGGCCAGGCTGACAACCCCAGTGCCCTTCCCCATCACATCCCTTCCCAGCAAGGCAAAGGCATTTCTCTTCCCTTTCCAGGTGTGTGATTTTCTTTGCCTATTGGCCCTGCTGCTGCCTTGCACTGGCAATGCTGGTCCTTGTTACCGGCAAGCCCAGGCATCCCCACGAGCCACATCCCAGCTGCCTGACTCTGCTGCTGGCTCAGGAATGCTGCAGCACGTCTGCACAGTGGGCTTGTTACGCCTGCCCCACATTCCTGCCGACAGCTGTCTGGACAGGAAAGGAACAGCTTCAGAGGCCGCCTGTTTTGAAACAGGAAACATTATTCATGCTTCGAGTCTGAGCTGAGCGACTTCAAATGAGTCCATCCTTCACCCTCCTTTTCTCTTTGCATCTCCTCTGCACCCCTGCCATCTTTGATGACCATCCCTTTTCAATCCCAAACCGCTGCACGGTTCTGCTTATCTTCATAGAAAGGAGAAGCCCTAAAGGAAAAAGGGTTTATAATCCCAGCAAGAAGAGGTCTTGGACCCAGGGGACAGTCAGAGCTGGCTGGGGTAACGCTGCTTGCGTAGGCAGAACAGGACAGCATGTGCAGGAGTGCCGCTAGCACCAGAGGGAAAACATCTGGAAGCCATGAACATTCAGATTGTGTCATGTAACAACATGGAGTGTTTGCTCAACATTATCCTCTCCCCCAGCCTCTTCGCTTCGCTACCAGCTACCCTCCGGTTGCCCAGGCTTTGCCTCCTCTTTAGATCAACACCAGCCACACGCAACATCTGCTACAGCCCCAAACCTTCCTACCAACCAGCTGCTTGCACCATCTTCGCTCTGGGACTCTCCTTATGCCTGGTGCCCTCTCCTGTCTCCACCACCTTCTTCCACAATAACCTTCTTCCAGATAAATACCTCCTTGCCCTGTTCTCCTCTCCCCGGGCATACAGTGCTCGCAGTCAGCCTTTCAGGAATAGATCCATCTGCTCCAGAGGGTATTTTCTGACCGTTGGCAGGGCTGGTCGGCAAGATCGCAATATCTGGGTGGCAAGTTCCCACCTCGTCTGGTCTCCATGCGTTTCCCCCCTTCACCTCAACCAACTTCAGGCCCTTGCTTCAGGCAGCACAGCAACAACCTGTTCCCAGGTTTGACCTGGCACTTTGGATCTTCAGTCTGCCTCAGGAGGAACCTGTCTCTCTCCTTCACCTAGAAAGAAACTAAGAAAGTTGCCATGCTACTACAGCCACCAGCAGCACGTCCTTAAAGTTAGGCTGACTGAATTCAGGCATCAAAAGACATTTGCACTCCACACTGCCAAGTTACCATCACGTCTTCACTCGACTTACAAGCCCACTTCGTATGTGGATCCTGTAGGAAAAAGTTTACAGCTGGAGGTTAAACACCGAAACGGACAAAGCAATCCATGCTTGGATGCGCTGGTAGGTCCTGTTGGCTTTTCTGCCGATTTTGTCTTCCGGGGAGAGGCGATGGGTATGTCCTGTGCAGCTCTGTCAGCAATGCCAGCCATCACTCACACAGAGACGGACTGAAATACCAGTGTGTGCTGGCATAAACAGTCTCTTGGCTCGTCCCTAGGATGACTCAAAAAAGAGCAAGCCAGAGTTACGCAGAGCAAATGGCCCCTGTTTATATGTTGCTTGGGGATCTGCAAGGCTAGAAGTATTACTGGTGGAGTGGATGCAGTGAGAGGTGTGTGGATGAAGCTGTCCAGGGGAGGCAGAGCAGTAACTTTCTTTATGTCCACAAGAGGAAATTGTAGTGTGAATATTTCCACATAGACAGTGCAGCAAAAAGCCAAGAGATACAGAGAAAACTTGAGGCAAACGCAAAAGAGGTTGAGGCTCATTCTTAATTCAAGATCTGCAGGTTCAAACTGTGCAATCTTTATTTTCATAGAATCATAGAATGCTTTGGGTTGGAAGGGACCTTTACAGGCCATCCAGCCCAACCCCCTGCAGGGAGCAGGGACAGCTTTAACCAGATCAGGCTGCTCAGAGCCCTGTCCAACCTGGCCTTGAATGTTTCCAGGGATGGGGCCTCCACTACCTCTCTGGGCAACCTGTGCCAGTGCTTCACCACCCTCATTGTAAAAAATTTCTTCCTTATGTCTAGTCTAAATCTAGTCTTCTTTAGTTTAAATCCATTATTCCTTGTCCTGTCACAACAGGCCTTATTAAAAAGATTGTCCCCATCCTTCCTGTAGGCCCCCTTTGAGCACTGAAAGGCCACAGTAAGGTCTCCCCACAGCCTTCTCTTCTCCAGGCTGAACAACCCCAACTCTCTCAGCCTGGCCTCATAGCAGAGGTGTTCCAGCCCTCGGATCATTTTTGTGGCCTCCTCTGGCCCCGCTCCAACAGGTCCATGTCCTTCTTGTGCTGAGGGCCCCAGAGCTGGATGCAGGGCTGCAGGTGAGGTCTCACCAGAGCAGAGTAGAGGGGCAGAATCCCCTCCCTCGACCTGCTGGCCACACTGCTGGGGATGCAGCCCAGTATATCGTTGGCTTTCTGGGCTGCGAGCACACACTGCCGGCTCATGTCCAGCTTTTCATCTACCAGTACCCCCAAGTCCTTCTCCGCAGGGATGCTCTCCATCCCTTCATCCCCCAGCCTGTATTGATATCGGGGGTTGCCCCGTCCCAGGTGCAGGACCTTGCACTTGGCCTTGTTGAACCTCATGAGATTCACACAGGCCCACCTCTCTAGCTTGTCCAGGTCCCTTTGGATGACATCTTGTCCTCCTGGCGTGTCAACAATTTTCTCTTATTTAGTGCCTCTGTGTTTGTTCTGCATGAAAAGAAGCATGTTTTGGGGCTACAGACAGCCTGGATTCACTTCCCAGGTCCCAGAGCTGTGACTCACCTTGATGGCAGCAAAGCACCGCAGCTCTGCCCGACACCATCTCCCTGACTCCTTCCTTCACCCGTCACGCACCCTGACCAGTCGTCACGGCCCCACTACCAGCATTTACGGATCCCACAGCAGAGAAGTCACACATAACGGCTGAGCCTCCAAACCCTTGCTGCTCTTTAGGGAGCAATGCCCCTCCCCCACCTCTGGTCTCCCTCCCCACGCCAGCAGCGACCTTTCACGGAGCCTGTTTTACTTGTAATCTCAGCAAAAAAAAAATTAAGTTATTTTTCAGGGCAGGCTGTTTTCCTGCTGGTTTAGCAAATCACATCAGCTCCGCGCAGGGTCTAGTGAGTGCCACATGTCGTTCTGCCCCCTGAGCACAGCTCCAGCGCACCTTTAGGGATGTAAGGCAGGCTTTGCAGGAGTCAGACTCCCATGTGCGCACATAAGACAGTTCAGGGAGCAGATGCTGCTGAAAACTGACTGAGAGGGAGAAAAGTAATTATTTGTTACTCACATGAACTTCCTGCAAAGGGGCAAGGATGTGCAAGTGAATGGGCAAGGCAGGGAACCTGGTTTAGATCAGCTTAAAATCATCAAATCATGGAATCGTTTAGGTTGGAAAAGACCTTTAAGATCATCCAGTCCAACCATTAACCTAACACTACCAAGTCCACCACTAAACCAGTTAAGGGAAGAATCATAATTAATTTCATCTTTCCTGGCTTGGTGGCTGGATTATTTTTTAATGAAAGTAAAAACTAGGAATCATTAAGTTTGGAAAGGACCTCTAAGATCATCAGTCCAACCATCAACCAAACACCACCATGCCCACTGAATCATGT